GTAAATACTGCATATTAAGCATAGGAAAGAAAATTAATGTGCTGCATTTGCGGATTTACTTCTAAGTGAAAAATGTAAAGGGGAGGAGGACTCATAGCAGCATTGATATTCTACATTTATAGGGTATAGTAAGAAGTTTGTGATGACCTGACACAAAAGAAAAACACTTTAGAAATGGATTCAAGTTTCACAGATAATCGTAACTTTTGAATTTCCTCTTTTGATTTCAAATTTATGGCCACAGTATGACATTACCAGAGTCTATTGCCTTTTGCAGGTGGCATTCATATGTTGTCACTTTATGTGTAGTCTACTGTGGGCAATGGGTTACAATGTTTGTGAAAATTTTCCAGAGCCACACAAGTACTTGTTAATTAGACTTGCAAATGAATAATGTCTTTCTTCATGGGGAGAATATAGTGAAAACATTACAGGAATTTTTGTTCCTTTTTTCCTTAGTTAGAATGGGAAAAATTTGCAACAAAGTTGGCTTTTTGAAACTTTGACATTTTCTGGTAAGTTCTGATTTATATATGAAGTCATTATCTGACAATTCCAAACAAATGTCAACTTAAAGCAAACCAGTTTTTTGTGTGTTTCCTGTAGCTCAAAAAGGGCTTTAACAGATTTATCTGGCTTTCTGCTATTCAAAACAGTGGAACGTTGTCATCTCAGTGGCATTTCTAATATCTTGAATAATTTTGTAATTCCTACCTTAATTATAGATTTCAATAGTATGGACACTACCCACACTTTCTCCAACAAAGCATTACTAAAGAAACAAATACTAACACTGTCAATAATATTAACACATGGAGTAGAAAAAGAGCATAAAGTAACATGATTTGCAGGAAAAATCTTTATATATCTTCTCAGACACAGTAAGATCTGGAAATAGATTCTAATTCCTAAAAGCATGTCTTTAGACATAAACAGACCCGGCACTCAGTTCCAGGAGGGTTCAAAATTCCCATCCTTTATTCCTGTGACAGATGTGCATTTCATTTTGAATATGTAAGTCCTTAAAAGACATCTAGTGATTTCATTTGGCTTGTGAGTAAAGATCTTCATAATGTTCAATGATGATATTTTGTACTTTTGAGTATTAAATTATGCCAAAAAGCCATTTACTTGATATTCTTTAAATACCACAGCACAATTCGACTAAAGCTCAGATTGTAAACCATCTTAAATAACACTAATGCAATGTGCACATAATGAACAATCTAACTAACTTAAGTTAATTTTCATGTAACAGATAACATCTGGGGGAAATATATATTGGTAAGTTATGCAAAACTAATTTTCTAGCAACCACATCTGTAGATGTTATTTATTGTATGTTCACTTAACAGTCCATTATTCTGTTTAGAAATCTATTCTCTTCTTTATTAGAGCTTTTAATGTACTCACCTTGGTTCAAATGGTCGGCTCATTATCAGAAAAAAAAATATATAAATGGCATTCACATGGAACAACATGATTGTTTTTATTATATCCATTTGTGTGCAAGCATTCAAAAATGGCAAGAGAAACACATTTATTGCTTTACATTCAAAGTAATATTTAGGGGGTATTTGAAAGTCAAGCAAAACCAGTCATTTGGCCAAATGGATGTATGTGTATAATCAGAAACTCCTGATTTTTAATCTCAGCATTAGGCCTCAGGCAAGTCACTTAAAGTCTTTCCCTTTGTTTCCTGATCTGAAGATTATGGGTGCGATTCTCTTAGAAAAGAAAGGGGGTTTACTAAATCAGGATTCCAAATAGTGTTTTTTTAATAAACACACAGATCCTTTTTCTGTTTTTATTTTTCTAGATTTAAGAGGTAACATATAAGACTTTTGAGGGAAAAAATATGAGACAATTACAATTCTACAGGAATGTATAAAAATAGTTATAAAACTAACTTTATTTAATTTGCTTCAACTATTCATAGACTTGAGGAAATTATAACGTTCTTTCAGAAAATCTAACTTAATAAAGCTGACCATGTCTCTCTGTTTTAAATAGATTTTATTACAGAACCAGTGATGTTGTAAAACATGAGGTTTTGTTAAAAAAAAAAATACAAAGGCCTAATTGTATTTTTTAAAGAAAATATTACATCAGACGGTTTCATTTAAACATATTTACAGGCTCTAAGCTCTCACCACAATTATTGATTCTAATTTTCCCTATACTTAGTTTTTAAAAAGTCTACTTAATTGGGGGGGGGTCACTGTGATGCTGCTAGCCACTTTATTTATTTCAAACTATATATTTGACACTTCATCTTCTTATCAATTAATGGAATAGCCTTGTATCTACATTCATCTGGAACTGGAACATTTCTTTCTCTTACAGTATTTTACTAATATAGCCAAATGTAATTCTTTATGTAAAAGAAAAACATAGCTATGGTTTTGTTCATGGCTAGTATGCAAAATACCATGAAGAAAAGAAATTCTCACCCCTAGTTTTTGTGCACAAATTTAATCAAATAAATATCTGTATGAGCTACTCTCCTAAAAATCAAGAAAAAGAAAAGCCCAACTCTCAGTCAGACCTTACGTTCTGAAGATAAGTGGAACTTCACTCCACCAAAGAAATTATGATGTGATACTGAGAAGTTCCATGTTTTCAAGTATGTCTCCAACACACACACACACACACACTCAAAGCAGGAAAACTAAGTAGTTCAAATGAGCTTTGGAAAGAAATCCAGAGCACAGTGGGATCAGTGGGATGAGGGATCAAATGAGAGGCTTGAGCATAATACCTGTTTGCATTTAAGTGTGTCATCTGATGAAGAAAGTGTACAGGTGTCAGATGGCACAGCCTGGTACTACCTGGATAGAGAATCAAACTACTGAGACTTGCCACTGCGAACTAGGAGAAAATTAGCAGAAAGGCCTACCTTGTGTATGGAAAAGCATAGCAACAAAACAAATACAGTGACAGTAGTCGGGGTAAAATTCTTTCTAGCCCACAAATTAACCAGCTCATGCTTACTTTCTCATTGCCTACAGTAAATTCAGTAAATTTAATGTGATTCCTTTTTCTCATCTCTTCAATATCTCACTCACCACTACTCCCCCAACTTTCTGTTTCTCACCCTATATTAAAGTCTATGCCACTGAGTAAATACCTCATTATCTCCCATTCTTTCTGGATTTCCTATGCAATTTATTAATTATACCTCTCATGCCTCAGAGGACATTGAAATATGTTTAGCCATTTCATTTTCCTAACTCAGTAAAATAAAGAGCCATATAAGGAAGGTGTGGGAGGAGGAAAAACAAGCCTGGTGAAAAGGTACACATTATTTTGTGGGTAGATGAAAATGTTTCTATGTCCCATTTAGAAAAAAAAAAATCTTACATATGATGAGAAAAAAAGGTATGTTTTCTTAATATTCTATTTGGATTAACATTTGGTCAGCTTAAGATAAACAACCTGGAATGATGTCACTTAGCACAAAGATTAAGTGCTTAATAATATCAATGATTTCCAAGTATGGCAACATGATGACATATTACAGTTTACTGAAAACTGCATAGGCCAAGAAGTTTGCACAACAGGGTTTAACTCCGAGCCCTTTCAGTCTGTAATTATTCGACCTTAAGTCAATCATTTAATCTTCTGGTTTCAAAATTCTCCTTGACTATCAAGTTAGGACATTTCAATTCTTCTATATCTTTATACACAGCAACAACTTCCTCTAAAATCAAAATAAATTAATGCTACTAATTCAATGCAAGTGCTTTGGTATACCAATCCTAACATAACATCTAAATAAAATAATAACTGAATGATGCAATATTATAACATGTAATAATTTATTTGACTTTTTAAGATAATTTATAAATGGCTGCATGATGATTTCAGAGTTTTTCCAGGCTTCATGGAATGGTTACCTATTTGGTGAATTTATACATTGCCACCAAAGTCTTTTTGTTTTTGTTTTTTCAAATTTGTAGGTTCAGGTTCTGACTTTAGCAGAATAGAGTGGGTGACTTCATCTGAGGGCCACAAAAACAAACTCAGGAGAGTTTAGCCATATAAGACAGTACATCAGTTCACTAAGTTTCAATGAAGGATGTAACATAGATGGAAATTATAATATTCACTCAGTGGAGATGGAAAGTCAAAATTTTTAATTTTGCTTATTAAACATGGAATAAGAACAATAGGAACTAATTAAATGATGTATATGTTTAATGCCATTAATACCCTCATCTCTTTTTCCCCAAGCCATGGTGGAATGGACACTGCTTAAATATGACTCTTGTTTCTTAATTTTCACTGTTGAGTGACAGCCACCCTCCCTCTGGTTGACTTACTCTTGTTACAGAACTGTTAAATGCTCACACAGTGAAGTCTTGTCTTTCATTCTGTGTTTTTGGTTGACTTCACAAATCTCCTCTCTAATTTACTGTTAAATGACTCTGTACATTAACCTTTCAAGCTTTTATTGTCCTCATCACCAAGTTCGTGATGGCCACTTCACCACTGACCCCAACACAGCTACACACTGATGAGTAATATTGACATCAGACTGTTATTGAATGTTTTAATCACCTAACCCTTTGCCAAAAACAGAGAAGATATACAGAGGGTCTAAAACATTGTCTTTCCCTACAGTGAGCTTGTAGGCTGAAACAAGGGACAATGACACATGAAACAAAGACCACAGCAGCACAAAATAAAGTCCTAAACCGCATAGTGTACAAAGAATAAGACAACGAGAAGAATAAATTGCTAATTGCCATAATGAGATATGTACTAGAAAACTAAGCAGACAGTGGTGCCAAGTGTTCTGAGGAAACAAAGGATTACTTACCATAACAGACTTGGAATTTGATATACACACACACAAATACATAATAACACAAACATATATATAGCATATCTATAGATATATGCTTATGCATGTATAAGGGGAAGGGACATGCGAGAGAACAAAGATTGATTGACTAAACTGTGACAATACTGCTCTTTCTTTGCTTTTCCTCCAGCAAGTGATAGAGGTTGTCAGATCTTCAAGTAGCTGTTTCCCTGATCCTCTAGAAGAAGGAATCGCATTTGATGTCTACTCAACATTCATAGCGCCACCACCAACATCAGATACTGAAATGAAGGTATATTTCCTTTTGTGTCTTCAGCCTACCTCAGAGTTATAATCCCTAGGAGTGGGAAGAGATCAGATGGTCCTCTATTTTCTTTCTGTTTGATTATTTCCTAGCAAAATATAAATATTTCTTTTCATGTTAATCATGGGTGGGTCGGTTGAGGGTGATTCAGCAATTATAACGTCTTCTACTCCAACCTTCTCAGTCTCCATTTCCACTTTCCATGCTTCACACCAGGACTTGATCCAGCCATTCTTGGGACACTTCATGGCCAATAAAGATGCAGGAAAATGTCAAATCAAAGTTTCCTTCCAGATTGATATATCTCTTAGTAGAAAAACATACAAGAGAAATTTAAGGTTCATGCAAATCATTGAATATTCCAGAAGCCACTTGAGTGTTGGTTACTTTCAATATTCTAGGGGCTGGACCAAGAACAAGGCCCTGAGCAACCCCAGTCAGAAGCTGACCTTTCATCCATGGATCCTTTAGTTGGCTTCACCATTGAAGATATAAAATCAGTACTGGATCAAGTCACAGATGATATTTTAATCAGCATTCAGGTACTCAGTCTTGATATGTTCTTATTTACTTTATTATTGGTTAATTAGTCAGCCTCAACCTTTGTGTCTATAAACACTACCCACAGTCTGCTAGCAAGTGTGGTGCTTATGATGAAAGACTTCAATTTCACATCTACACGTAATTCTCAGTTGAGTCATCTGCGACCCAATAAGATCACAAAATAGATTTGCCAGCGCTTAGTGCAGTGTGTGTTATCAGTTTATAAAATCACTCAGCACTAAAACCCAAAAAAAAAATATCACGGCAAAAATTTTGTGCCTTGTTGTGTAGTAAACAATTGCTCCTACAAGAAGAATTGGAAGACACTTCTAAACAGTAAACACTGAAGATCAAACTTCAAATTCTTGGCCTTCTCACCAAGTTTCTAGAGTCTTCCAAGTCTTTGATAGTTTGCTTCTTTTCACATATCACTAATAACTCAGCAATTTACACCCAGGGCTGCATAAAATGGCAATGGGGGCGGCCATCTCAGTAGCAACTGCCAAATGCTATCTCAGCTCAGTTTTATGCTTACTTTTTTCCCCTCAGGAAAAAAAATCTCTGCCTTAATATAAAGATCTGTTTCATTTCCCAAGCATAATGACTAAAATAATTAATTGCATATTTTGAGAAGATTTATAACTTCTTGTGGCAATGACCATGAATCAATAGGACAATATACTGTGTGTTTAAAATATTAATGCACATCAGGGAAAGATTTAGTTGTTATCTGAATATGATAACCTATATATAAAAAGCATACTATATTAACAATTTAGAACGAGCAAAAGACTTGCTTGGCATAAGCATACCATATTACTTGTTTAATCAGCAAATGTTAATGCAGTATTTACATGAACATTTAATGATCTGATGCCAATAGAATCAGCCAAAGTCCTTAGCTTAATAAAGAGTATGCAGTGTTTACCAGAAATAGTGGAAGAACACGTTTTATACAAAGCTTTATTGTTAACAACCCCACAAATACATTAACTAGTTACTGTGTGGAAGGGCAGAGTGCAGCTGAATTAAGCTGAGTTCAGAACATATCTCCTTTTTAGAATTGATAACATTTCATCTAAATATAGTTTATGTATAATCATGGCCCGGGGCTCCTTTGCGATCCTGTGGCTCTGAAATTATTGCCGAGGAACTACTAGACAGTAATAGAATTGTTTGCAGGCCACCAAAATTGCAAACATCTTTCCATGGCCATGTTCCAGGCAGTGAGCTCTGTGTTTTTAACTATTTGTTGAATTCTTTTTTAAAATATTAGAGTCTGTATAATTTATATACCACAACTTTATAATAGAAAGATTATGGTTGTTATACATGGGCGATTGTCCTGTTGGACTGAGTCATCCTTACTGGACCCGAAAATTCATTACCTGGAGCATCTATCCATAGTTAAGCATAGAAGGAACTTGGACCACAGGTGAGGGGACATAGATCCTTGCAACGTCTTGAACATTTCCATGTTAAATGGATTCATGCACATTAGCCTGGGTCCAATGACCGCCAACTTTTTAATAATTTCTATAAGGTCTCGAGATAAATCTCTGCCTGTGTTTTCCTTCAGTAACTGTAGGAGGCTCCTTGCGAATTAATCTAATAAATAAATTGAAAACTGAGTCTCAGAATGCAAAATCATTTGTCCAAAGTTTCCATAGTCAGAAACTGATGAACGGTCCTCCCTGGGAGCTGTGTACTGGGTTCTAGTTCCTAATTCTAATGTCCTCCACAAAAATCACATAGTATCTATACCCTAACCAGACTACTTTGAATTTTAATATTCTCATGGTATAGCACTTTTTCAGTGTTTATCCTTGTTTCTTGGTCAAATTCCAAGACAGGTATTTACGCTCTGCTTACTTAAATTCCTCCTCCTGTTTTAGATAAGTAAGCAATTTTCAATTCTAAAAACCTGCTTTCCAGTGTTCCTGGCTCTTAAAGCTGCCTTGTCCCTTTTCAGAAAGCTATATATCACTGGCCAGTGTATATAAGCCTTCTGAATATGCAAACATTAAGCAATTATTATTTGTAAGATGTTTTCATTTTTCCAACATTTTTTTCTTCCTGCTTGATTTAAAAGTCATGCTGTTATGAATTTTGGAGGAAAAAGCAGCAGCAAATTCATGCTTTAAGTACACTGTTTTTCAGAGTTCTTTCTCCAGGGTGGTTTGCAGGCATATTTTACTTTCTGCACATGAGAAATTTTTGAAAATGTAGTATGAATTCTTAAATTTTTTATGCTAATCCACTTACTTTCCCATTGACTCACTTCATAATTTTGAAGATTTATTAAGAACAAAGTTATCTTGGCCCTGTGATGTTAATTAAAATTATAGTGAATAGACCAAACATTTTAGGCTTAAACAGTTTAGGTTTATTTTAAAGATACTTTCAAAATGAAATTATTTTGGCCCTGAGTTGTATAATAAAAATTGTACCCATTGGGGCAAGCTTTAATATATTTAAAGAATTATATTTCAGAGAAATATGAATACTAAAACTCAATTCTTACATTAAATGTTGGCCACTGGCCCATTCTAAACAATAGGGTTAAATAACATGAAAACCTAGAAGGCAGATTGCCATCTGGGCCATAGGTATTTTAGATCAAGTTGAATTTCCAGGTTACAAAATCTGAGCATAAGATCACCTCACCATAGTGATAAATGAGAGGTTATTAAACCCAGGTCATGGGTTTTCCATTCTTTTCTAAAAGGAAACAGAACCATATCCAATCCTAGTGGTTATGGGTTATGAGGTATGGGATCACTGTCTGCTGAGAAGTTTTCTGAGAAATAACAAGGAGGCATCATAGGATAATAGGATAATGACAACCTGCTTTTGACCAGCAAGGAGACTATTCATCCAGATTCTAGTGATTGTCGCTGAACTGAACTACTGATCCCTCCAATAGAGATCAGAAATGGGATTCCTCTCTCTCAGGACACCACTGATTATTCTGCTTCTTACCTTCAACATTCCTAAAGCATGGCAGAGTTCCTCTGTTTCAGGGAGGACCAGGTATTTCTTCAAAGCCCACTCTCGTTTCCATAAATTCTATCTCTGTGAAATACCAGAATTATCTCCAAGTTATTGTGAAAACCCTGGTGAAATAATGAAGTTGCTAAATGATGATACATCTGCCCTTACTATAAAGGAGATGAGATTATTGGTATACACAGAAAACACTAATTGAAAGAGCAGTTGATTGGTTAAGACAGTACTCCCAATTCTTTGGATACATGACAAAATTCCTTCTTCAGATCTTTTCAATCCCTCTATGGTCTAATACGTTGTAGACCATAAATTTATTTTAGTGAAGTTGGAGCAGAATATTTTTAAATATTTCATAATGTCATATTAATAAAATATAACACTGATGAATATATCATTAAAGTAGATACTAGGATTAGGAATTTAACAGCTAGCATGTAATGTTAATATAATCTTATTGACTACTTAATTTTTCTATGAGAACTCCCAAAGCAGTTAATTGACTTACTAACAGCTTTATAGTTCTAGATCTTCACACTCGTAGACCAGGCTCCTTTCACCCTTACCAGAGCCATGCCTGAGGAGACTAGTGATTCCTCAAAAGTGACAGAGCCCCACTATTATCTTGAGAACCATTTCTGTCCTTCCTGGTCTCTACATCCAACCACTAAGAAAAAAATAAATAAATAAAAATCAAGAGGACAGAGCGTGACATTAGGATTTGATAAAACTTGAGCCAAATAAATAGTTCCATCTGGGCCAAAAAACAGAATTTGATTTTAAAATTTGTTCTACATAAGTTAAAATAATGAAACTTTCTCAAAATACAGTTGTCCTGAAGACATCAAATTATGTTCTGAACATTAACACCCTAAACTTTAAATTACTTAATACTTATCTATATAAACTACCTCTCGTCCACCTGTCGACATGTGTCAAGATACCTAAAGAAATACAACAATTCTTCCACATGATCCATCATGGTTTTGCTACACCTAATTTTATTATCCTTTATCCAAAAAGGTAGAAATTTCCAAGGATATTAATGTTCAGACCACGTGAAAGTATTTCTGGAATTGTGCAGGTAGCAATGTTAGTCTACAGAGGAGACTGTCAGGGGCTAAATGATATCACAGCTACAGCAAACACTAAAACCTGTCAGCATTCGCTTATTTTTTTTAACCAAAATTACACCCCAAAGTGGCATAATTCCAAGACTTAAAATGCATGATGAATACTCTAATTTATGAGAATTGTACTAATTGTGAGATTATTTGTGTTGGTATTTCACAACAGAAGCTCTTTAGGATCACATTTAGAACGTATTACACAGAAGACAAAAACACCCATTGCAAAAGGGTGGGGACCCACAACACAGCAATAACTAAGCTCGGAGCAGTTACTCTGATTTGGTGCTTATTGGTGAAGTCTGTCTGAAAATACAGATAAATTATCCTATCTTCCAACACAAGGCTATGTGAAAAATGGCTGTCCAAACACCACTTCCTGTTCATAGCAGACATGCTATACATTGGGAATGTGCAGAGAAATATGATAAAGTGTTATCACATCACTACAGGCTGAAACACGGCTATGTCTGCAAAACAGGAAGGTGTGTGAGGGATAATGTCTGTCTTTAGGCACTATAGTATGTCAAAACCACAAAGACAATGTGCAGCAAAAGATAGCTCCATCATAACCACTTTTTTATGATTGTCTTCACAGACCGAGATAAACGAAAAGCTGCAAATACAGGAAGAGGCCTTTAATGCACGAATAGAAAAACTGAAAACGGCCTGAGGACTCGGCACAAGGAGAGTAATGCTAAACTTCACAGAAACAAACCAAGCCAGCTAGAATAATAGACGCTCCAGAGCGTCACATCTTTCATTTAGTTGAGAGAGGAAACCCAACCCCCACTTTTTATTAGCCTAAGTAATTAGAAAATTATTTGCCCCAATTTTTCTATCATCTGTCCCATAACAGCGTCTGAATTTATTGCACTGTGTAATAAGACCATTTTGTATACACAGTATGGAGAATGATACATAACAATACAGTTAACGTTTACGATGCTTCTTTGACATTTTGAGTAGTAAGTGCTGTTCATCTTCAAGGAGAATGAGGCCAACTCTTTTAAATAAAGAAAAAAAGAACAATAATTTTATCCATTGTGACCCAAATGAACAGCCCTATTAATGTAGCACTGTGAGCAGATACTGAGATACCACACTGCTGAGGATAAAACTAAACAATAACAACTCAAATACATACATAGTGATTTTTGCCCTTATATCATTTTGGTTTTTTTATTTAAATGCTTCAGTGTGAAACCAATTTTCTGAAATTATATAATGCAGTTTGAAGCACTTTAATTTATTCTGTACTGTATTTGTTATTTCTAATCTTGTTACTCTCCCAGGAGAATACATGACCTATATAAAAAGAAGCAATGTATAAATGGTTATTAAAGACCAGCCTATATATAGATCGTAAAACTTAAATACAAATCAAACTTACAGAGCCCTTAAAATTAACCATGATATTGCTGAATGATGGAAAACATCTCAAGCCTTTTAAATGCCTTTTTAAAATAGAATTTTAAAAAGAAAAATATTCATTTGCCAACTGATTGTCCTTAGTTGAACAAATTAAATTAATGACTGCCTAGACCCTTTCCAAATTTCTTAGACTTCAGAGAAGTCTAGAATGGAGAGCATTGCCTTTGGAGGCAATTCCTTCTAAGAGTTTCCTGTTAAAAATGTACTTATATCTTGGCAGTTGTATATGTTTTGTCTGTCTGTAGAGAGTCTGTCTGTGCTCTAGCTCTGAGCTGTAAAACCTTACCTTTTGCAACAGTGTCAAAGGGACTGGAATAAAAAGAAACAGCAGAAATCCGGAGTGGGGAGGATAGATAGAGACAGGACAACTCATGAGTGTTCCTAGCACACACTTCTGGAGTAAGACTCACAGTTCTAACACTGGTTTCACCAGTGGCTTGTATGTGACTTTGAGAGGCTGCTTACCTTCTACTTGTTCACTTTTTAAATGGGGTTGTTACTAGTTTTGATGGAGTTGTAAGAATTCAGTTCATATTAACAGGTGTATGTTGTCAGCTGATTTCCGTTTACTTTCAAGATACCAAAAGAATCACTTCCCATCCCTAATACCCAGTTGTTTGATCAACCTTTTTGTCATTATTCCCCATCGTCTTTGTTTCTCCACAGGCACCTGTGGTTCAACTTGTGGTTCAACCCATGGTGACCACTTTGCCACTCTCTTATCCTGTACCTACCATGTGGGAGAAGCCTAGGGATCCCTGTAACAGCCTAACTGCAACATCTAATAAAAATAGGAGAAAGAACAAGCACAATAGAATGTTATGTTTTGCTTCATAGTCTCTGCTCTTTAAAGTTAATTTTGAAGTGATCAGGAATATGTAGCCAGTTATCCACAGTTATCCACAAAAAAAAAAAAAAAAAATCACCCTGACTAGGTATTTTTATTTTTTTCCTTACGAGACAACCACAGATTCCAGTGTGTTCTTAGAAAACTTGTTTTCTGAGCATTTAAACAGTAATTTTCTCAAAACACAATTTGCATTGTGCCTCCCTAAGGTATTTCCACAACAGTGTGCCATTCTTTCTCTACATTGTTACCAGTAGGCCAGTGTTTTGTTTTTAGTTTAGTTTAGTTTCATTTTTTGTTTTGTTTGTTTTGTTTTGTTTTGTTTTGTTTTTTTTGGGGGGGAGTATTCTGATAGAAAGTGATGCCATACTGTTGTTTTAATTTGCTTTTATTGTTTTATTCCATATGTCTTAAGTACCTTTGATATATTTACAAGGCAATATGTGTGTGTACATGTGTTTAATCCTAAGAACTCTGAGAGGTGGATATTATTTGCCTCTTTGGATAGTTATGGAGCCTGAAACTTACAGAGATTATGAGCCAAAACCAAGTAGCAAATTAATGTTGAAGGGTCAGGACTTCAAACTCAAAGATGACCTATTTTTCAAATGAGAACACTAACAGAAAATTTAAGTAATTTCCCCATGATTACACAGTTAGTGGTAATGCCGGTTTTTGAACTTGTACCCACATAATAACAAAACCCACATACTTCACCTCTGTCTTCATCTAACTGTCTCACAGTCAATGGGAAACAAATTGAAACTGATTTTCTGTTATTAGTTAAAGAAGGGAACAAATATGTGTTGTTAGCGTATTAAGTATTTAAAATATTTATTTAGGGGTGGGACATACGTACCCATTTTATTCCTTCAATCATACACTGTATATTTAGTTAGTGCCTATTATGTATCAGGGCATTCAGTAGTGAACCAAACAGACATTGTCTCTGATATTTTGGTGGGAGGAAGAGAGAAAGCTAATGCTAACTGTAGTAAGTACACGTTTCTGGGAATTAGGAAATTTGAATAAAGAACCTTGATCTTGTCTGGAAACTCATAGAAGCTTCCCAGAGATTCTGGTGTTTGGGCTGGGATTTCAGGGGTGGCGGGAATTTAACTGGATAGAAGATGAAGGGAGATAAACTTCAGGGAGAAAGAGATAAGTATGCACAGAATCCCTGGATCACAAGATGTGTCTGAAAAAAATGCTCACAGCCACACCTCTTTTAGGGTCCTGTAGACCACATTATAGACTTCAATTTTTAACCTAAGCAGGAAGCTGTTGATAATTTCTAAGTAGCAAGTGATATCAGATTGGTATTTTTTTTTTTTAAAGGTCATCGCCCTAGTGCCAGGACTTCTATCCATGGAGAAATGGAAAAGAGTATTCATAGAAAATGATTCCTACTGCTAATGATATCATAGCTCTACTTCTTAGCGATTTCTAACAGTGAGAGAATGAAAGAAAAAATTGACTCCTTTAAAGTCACAGGGTCCACCTACTCTAAGCAGTCTTTGACACAAAAGCAACCCTCTGAAGAGCCAAATAAAAAACAATACCAACCTATTATTTAGATGAGCAACAACCTTCCTCCGATCAGCCACACTATCATTCTTCCATTTACAAGAATAATTTGGGGTTCTTTTTTTCTCTTTCCCATGATGCATTTCAAAGAGAAAATATATTCAGTTATGAACAACCCCAGACTGCCACTGTTTCAGGTATTTGCCAGCACTGTTGTGCCTAAATATAGCTGCAGAGTCATTTTTTCCAAAATCCGAATGTAAAGCCCCTATTTCTATCCTTCATTTGATTGGAACCATTCAACCATCCTGGTAGATAATAAGTTTGCATGTTCTTAGATTGCATTTCATTATGCTTCAGTTCCCCTGGAGAATAAATGTGCTCCTTTTCCCAACAATTGTAGAGGAGAAATACTTCTGACATCTCAGATTTCAGAGTCTCAAGAAGATGTCCCTCTTCTGGACATCAAAGTCTTCCCCTTCCCCCACATTGATTCATTATAAGGTAAGTGAGGGCCTCTTTGTGGCAGTAAAACACTTATTACTTTAAGTTTCCTAAGCAAAAAGGATTCTAGATAAAAATAATATCACCTTGTGGGAAGTCAAATTCCAAAATAGAAAATATTAAAAATCTCTTTTGCTTTTAGGGGCTTTCCCCTTTCCATGGATATATCAGCAGTGGAGATTGTCTTAGTTTTTGACAAAGCCACCACAGGGTTTGGTGTTTTTGTTTTTGTTTTGTTTTTGGCAGTTATTGTAACATTCTTCATTCTAGATTCTTCATGTAGTCATTCTTCAGAAATGTTCAATGGAGGTAGTTCTAAGGATCAGTTTGCTCATTAAGTCTAACCTATATTCTAAATATTTTCAAAGTAATGGGATGAAATAAGACAGATAAAGCCCTTGACTTCATGGTGTTCATAGATTTTACCATCCAGACAAAGATGGTAAATAAGCAAATAAGTTGGGAGATCTTAGACAACAATAAAGATGCCAATGATTCATACAAAGGCACAGGATAAAAAGTTCTGGGATGTGGAAGACCTACTTCTTCAAGGCTATCAAGAATCCTTTTGAAAGGGGTTACTATTGAGTTGAGACCAGAATAGTAGAAGGAACCAACTGTGGGCCATCCCGTAGAACATTTGTTCTCAGCAGTGAATATAGCAAGTAAATTGTCATTGCCAAGTAGAATTTTTGATTACCCCAAGTAACTCAGATACTGCCAATTACTTTGGCAGGTAAGAAGGCTGATTCGCAACCTCAGACTTTCACGTTCCTGACCCACTATTTTTTCCAGTCTATCATGTTGGTATGATCATATTGGTCTCTCTCTCTCTTTTTTTTTTTTCCAAAATAATGCAGAATTATAGTCACCAAATTCTTAGCATAATCACTAAACCCAAGTAAGTTCACCTATTTAAAAGAATTTTGGCCCAAACTCTGGCAGAATGGAGCTAAGTAAATAATGTATATACTCTGCTTTCAAAGGAGGTATAGCTCCCATGTTATGTGTGATGTGTGCATAATGACCCTTTCCAATAAGTACGGTATGAAAAAAAGGGGAGAGGTACTACATTTACAGTTAAGAAATGTCATAAACACCACTTGTGCCAGATGATCAAGTTCAACATCAACAGTCTATACCATGCTAATATCATATACCCTTAATAGGAGGCAATGAAAATAGGACTTTATCTTTGTGGTTCTTATAGCCAAACACATAACCTTAATATAATAATGAGAATACTATCAGACAAATTCCAGCAGAGAAACATCTCCTACAATATATCAGATCAATACTCTTCAAAACTATCAAGGTCAAGGTCATCAAAAACAAGAAAAGTGAGAAAATGTCACAACCTAAAGGAGCTGAAGAAAGTATGACGAACTATATGTAATGTGGACGCCGGCGTGAAAATCTTTAGCATAAAAAAGATGTTTAAAGAAATGCAAATAAGGCCCTCCCTGGTGGCGCAGCTGGTTAGAACACAGCATTAAGAAGCTAAAGCCACTTCCACATGAGTTCGATTCCCGCCAGACCCGGAGGTGACCACATGGCGAGACAGACCTCTTCTGGCCCGCCCGTTGCTCCCCTCAGCAGTGTACTTTGTCAATCTGCCTGTTCTGCTCCCCACTCTGTCTCTGGTGAAGCCTCTTGCCGCCTCTGATCCTCCGGCCTGTACCCCAGTTCTCTATGAGCAAATAAATAAACCTTTTAAAAAATGCAAATAAGCTGAGTTTTAATTATTAAAATATATTAATATTGATTTACTAGTTGTAGCAAATGGTATTATACCAATGCAAGATTAGTAATAATAGTAATAATCAGTAATAAAAGAAGAAACGGGAGGACACAAGGGAACAAGAGGGAGCTTTCTGTTCTCTACTCTTTTGTAAGTCTAAAATTATACTGATTACAAAGAATTATGGTAAAACAAAATAAATTTATTTAGAGAACAAAAAGATGCCCACCACCAGATTTCACTATTGATGGAATGACACCCTTTTCTAAATGACATGTAAAAAATCAGATACAACCATTTTGCAAGCTAATGGGGAAAAGAAGTGTTTATTAAAAATATGGAAGCAAAAATACACTTTAAAAAGAAATTGCAAACTTGGGCCCTTTCTGGTGGCACAACAGGTTAGGACACAGCACTGCAAGCCAGCCACAACCGCTTCAGTGGAAGTTTGGTCCCTCACCGCAGAGGTGATCCACGTGGCGCCGCATACCTCTCCTGACCCTCCTGCTGCTCCCAACTCTGTCTCTGGTGATGCTTCTCACTGCCCCTACACCTCTGGCTTGTACCTCAATTCTGTATCAATAAATAAATAAATCTTAAAAAAGAGAGAGAGAAATTGCAAATTTTATCAGTCCTGAGTCTTTGCTTGTTTTTCTCAGTTCCAAGGTAGAATTTGAAAATAACTAGCTTCTTTTAGTACTTAATTCTCTACAATATAAGACGTAATACGATTTATCAGCTAATCTTAAAGAGATAACCTATTCATACAATGAACCTAATCACTCAAGCTTCTCTCAAGGATATGTCTCCACTGAATCCCCCTAAGACTTTCTAAATGGGTATTATTTTTCTTTGGAAAGTTTATTTCTAGATAGAAGATGATAGATAGACAGATAGGTAGATATTCAATCCAATAAGTTGAAATCAAACTTGATAATATCATCTGTTATCCAATCACCAAATGTTTAATCTTGACTTTATTTATAATTTTTGTGTATGCCAATATCAAAATGAAAATAAAATATAGTTCCTGTTATTACATTGGAGACATTTTATATGAATGCATTATCAATATGTGACCTTCATAATACCAAGACCAGAATAATATTAACATAGAGTAAGAGTAATTTTAATATTAGTAATAATAATAATAATAATATTGTGAACAACATTAATAGCAATAACATTGTTAATGTTATTAATTAAATGTATTAATATTGATAATATAATAACTAACAGAATAATATTTACTCTATTAACCTAGAATATATTAGTCATGTTATTATAGAGTTAGTAATTCAACCAGAAAATTAACATAAGATTCACCTTCCAACTCCATAAAAGAGCTAAGTCCCTATAATGACCAACAAAATGGGGATTTTTCTTTCTTTCTGAATAGTAACTGATGCTATTATTTGTCAATAACTCTGCATAATCTTCTTATTGGTTGTTATATGGATTATATTGGATTATATGGGTTAGAGTAAAGTTAAAGTTTGCCGAATCTGTACTAATCAAAAATTTAAAATAGAAGAAAATGTATCCTCACTCTATCTTGTCAGATCTAGAATTCATTAAATCTACTTAAAAACATAACTGAATTACTAAATGTAATGGTCCATAGGAGTCTATTCGAAATTCATAGAGCCGTAGAATCATGGTATTGAAAATCTTTAACATAATCTAGCCTATTACTTTCACCGTAAAAAAAAAAAAAAAGACTTGAAAAAGTGGAAAGGATATTGTGGTCAAACAGATAATTTGTGATAGGGTTCGAACTAGAATCTAGATCTTCATTTGTTCATTTATCACTCAAACATGTTTATATTCAACAAATGTGTACTGAGTATCTTCTGGTGGTTGGAAGCTGTACTAAGCATACATTAGCAAAATCAGATAACTGCTGATTCCATGGAGTTTATAGTCTAAGGGGAAAAGGCAGCATTTAATCAATCACACAAATAAATATGAAAGAATAACTGTAGTGGGTACTATTTAAAAAAAGAAAAGGTATATCCTTGCAAGAAGAGTTTCTATAGAGGGATCTGATCAAATCAAGGAAGGCTCCCCTTGAAGGGTGAGTAAGCACTAATTAGGCAAACAAGGGCAGGAACAGTTTCAAGCAAAGGGAACAGCAATAGCAAATTCACTTTGGAACAGTGATATAGAGCATAAAAGATGTGAGAGAAGGCCTGTAAGGCTTGAGGCGCCAATGTAAAAAGTCCCACTTTGCAAAATTAAAAATCAATAGGTAAGCGAACATATTATGCAGAATTGTGACTTTGTCCTAACAATACCGAGAAGTTATTAAAAGGTTTTGAGCAAAGATTTGAATGTAGTTGGTGAAAGACAAATATATTTGCGCTGGACCAAGCTGACTCTTATTGCAGAGGGGAGAATGGAGAAGAGACAAAGGAGAATGAGATCTCTGCAGTAGGAAACTTTTGCGGCTGGAGCTCTTCCTTTATGCCACATAGGTAGCAGAAGGTGTCCACCAAAATCCACTCTCCAGTTGTTCCTGAGAGCATGGCCAAATTCCATTTTGCAGAACATTGGACCATGTGACTAATTTCCCATTCGTGGAATGTACACAGAAGTGAAGTGTACTACTTGAAGGTGTGACTCAGACGCTTCCATGTTCTCTTTTTTGCTGGCTGGATAGCAGCAAGGAAGGCGACAATTTGAAGGTAACGGAGCTGTTGGACTTTTTTCCTGAATAACCACAAGGCAGGAGACATTTACCAACCTGTATCACTTGTCCAGACTGTCTTACGAGGGAGAAAAAAAATCCATTTCTTAGAGCTACTTCATTTTTGGGTCTATCTGTTACAGCATGTTAAGCTATTCAACTCACTTTAGCCCTAATTAATTCAAGGACTGTGTCTCTCTGTGTATATGCATATGTAATACGTCTCATATGGGTCATGTCTGTAAACTGGGAAAACAGCTAGCAAATTCATGAACTAGGGACCTGCTTATAGTTTTATTGCATAAGGTAATTACTTCTTCGTTTATATAAGCCCACAGTCCCTCCTAAACTGACATGCTATAAAAGAATTGACTGAGCCTCGCAAGTATGATGAATTGCACACTCAGGAATTTCCCAGGGGAGGCCACACCTTAAATACTTTCTACTTTAAGTAAGGCCAGTAATTTTAAAATGTCTATGGTGGACTTGGGATTTCTCTAATATAATAAGAACATTTTAAATTATTAATTTGTTAATACCTTTTCCCATAGTCCAAGATTATTTCCAAAATTATACCTTCAAAAATTATTGAAATACTCCTTAAGTTGCTGAAAATTATCTGCCAAATATCTACTCCAGGATCCTAAGACACACTCTATAGCAAATGCTGATATGTTGTCTGCTGTCAACATTAACCTTATCCAGTTTTATACAAAGGTATTTCTGAAGGCACAGCTAGACCACAAATAGAGTTGGAAAAAGAAACAGAAGTTGGTTCTTCCCCTCTCAAACAGGTCTGCCTCTCATTGTTTCCTTGTTACTAGTGACCACCTGCATGATTTAGAATGCTTCCAGCTACAAGCAAACTCAAAATGCCATAAGCATTAACAAAAATACGCAATGTTATCTGAACAAGGAAAGTTCAGAGGCAAGTAGCCTCAGTGACATCATGGAGAGCTCAGACAGCTTCTGTCTGTGGTGCCTCTTCAGCTGTTTGGTGTTTGGCTTGTGTTGTCCCTTCAGAGGCCCAAGATATCAGCTGCATCCTCATAAGAGAAACAAAATCTCAAAGAAAAGGAGTTTTTTTTTGTTTGTTTGTTTTTTACATTTCTTTTTAAGAACAAGTAAAACTTTTCCTGAAGCCTGCCAGAATTTCTCCCGTGACCCTTTGGACCAGATGGCTAATCCTAATCCAGACAGTGGGAAGGGAAGTAGAATCACCATAACCGACAGAATGGACGGGAGAAGCATCATCAGCCAGTAGCTGAACAAAAATGGGACTGTGTGAGAGGGGAAACAGAGATAGAAGCATTTTGGGTAGGCAAGTGCCATTTGTACAAAACTGACTGATTTTCTTCCAGAATATTTTATACCTTGAAATGTCCTAGCATTGTCAGTATTCTCTGGTTACAAATTTAGATAGGTGGGTGAGAAATGGCAGATAGATGAAGATGATTAGAAAGACAGACACATACAGATAAACAGACAGGCAGACAGAAGATAGATAGACAGATAGATAGATAGATAGATAGAAAGATAGATAGATAGATAGATAGATAGATAGATAGATAGATAGATAGATAGATAGATAGATAGATAGATAGCAAATAGATTTTTTCCTATTTCAAAGGTCATGCTTGTGTTGTTATGTCGAAGTGTTGGTACGGTTTTTTAAATGTAGCCATAGAAGATACTGCATTTCAGCATCCCTATGAAAAATAAGTTGATTTTTTTTTAAACTAAACCTCTTCAGTTCTTAAGGTGATGGACTCATATTGAATTATTACCATTTCCGCTCTCCTGAAATTTTGATGACAAGGTCATCATTCATTCAACCAAGTGTGGCCATTTCCAATTCAGAAAGTGTCTTTATTCAAGGTGTCCTCATAGGTGCCTTTATTTGTTCAAACTATTTCAAAATGAATAGCCAAACAAATCAGCAGGGAACTGCAAAATAAAATACATGGTCCAGAGCTAAATAGGGTGACAAATATTAAATTAAAAAAGAAAAATATGTCATTTAATATATATGTATATATATATATAT